TTTGAGGCTATATGGTTGACTAGATTGATTAATTAGGTCAATTATCTAAGAGATAAAAGAATTACTCTTGGCTGATATAATTTGGGCATTGAAGTAACCAAAGTAACTCGACTGCAAGTTAAGTGGTCAAAGAATTTTAGAAAGCAAAATCTGAGAGCCACAAAACTTTTTCTTCTGAGTGTCTTTAATCTTCCATGCTGGCTCAGGAGAAAATAAACCAGAAAATCCTGAAATGTGTACACTGGCAATAGACTGAAATAAGCTCTTAATATTTCGTACTACATTTTAAAAAATGATATATGAGCATACACTCTAAGAGAAAGTAACTTACAGCATATCAGTGAAATGTCTAAATTAAGAAAATTCATGACTAGATTATTTTAACAAAAGGAAATAGCAGAGAATAAGGTGGTAAGTGAAACTACCAAATGAACCCTAATAATGTCCATAGGCCCTCTTTACTTTTCCCTTAGGGTGGCTGCCATGATATATGGGAGCGGGGGGCGGGGGGGGCGCTGCTCAGTGTTGGTTATGTTCTATAGAATCACAACAGAGATTTCACAAGCATATGGAAAGCTCCTCTGGATATGTCTGCTCCATATGTAAATTAAGCAGTCATTATTTATTCAAAATTGAGAGGAGTGCCAATTTTTAAAAATTAAAATACTATATATGGAATAACATTTTCCATGTCTTACATGACACTTCAAGGAATGTCTACATGATTTTTCATAGTATACTCTACATAGTAAGTGAATACTGAGACAAATTCCATCATCTTTAACCTACGAACGGAAACCTAAATTCTCTAAAGGCAGGACCAGAGACCATCATCTCTGCAGCTGTACAACCTAGACATCTAGGATTCACTCCTAATTCCCTCTCTTACCCCCCTCACCACATTAGCTCAGTCTTAAGGTTCTATTGCTATTATCTTCTAAACATACCTCAAATTGCAATGGCACTGACTCATCTCCTAAACATACATCAGTCTCAGGCATTCAAGGTCTTTCCAATCCATCCACTTCTAATCCATACTCCACACTGCTACCAAAGTCATCTTCAAACCCTAAATCTGCTCCTATCATGCCTTTGCCCCAAATCTTCAAGTGGTACCCTATCATCTTCAGGATAAAGTCCAAATTCCCGAGTGTGGTATACAAGATACCTTAACATCTGGACCCTTGTACCTAATTTCTTGCTTTTCCCCAAATGTGCTATCCTCTCTCATCTTCCTTCCTTCCTTCAAAAACTATTCAATAGGCAATATTTTAGATGCTTGGCATACATGAATAGACAAAAAAAAAAGATCCTTTTCTTTGCGGACCTTACATTCTTATGGTAGATAGATAGATGATTGATAGATGGACAGATGAGTAGGTAGACAGATGACAGAGAGACGACAGATAGAAAGACGATAGATATACATAGATAGATGATTGACAGATGGATAGATGAATAGGTAAACAGATGATAGACAGAAAAATACATCTAGATAGATGATTGATAGATGGATAGATGAGTAGGTAGGCAGATGATAGAGAGATGATAATGGATAGAAAGATGATATAGAAAGATAGATGACTGATTGTTAGACAAGTAGGTAGATAGATGACTAATAGATAGCTAACTAGATAGATGCCTGATATAGGTAGGCAGATGATACATAGATGGATGATAAAATAGGTAGGTAGATTACTCATATAGGTAGGTAGATGAAGGATAGACAGATGGACACATAGATGATTGATAGGTAAATAGGAAGACAGATGATGGATAGAGTGTCAGGGGCTGATAACTGCAATAGATACAAATGAATGAGGATAAGGATTGTGTGAGGTGATACCATGTTTTACCATCTTAACTGGGTGCTCAGAGAATGCCTCACGAAAACAATAACACTTGAGCAAAGACCTGATGTACGTAAGGAAACAGGCAATGTATATATATTGAGGGAAGAACATTCTAGGCAGAAGGAACAGTGTAAAGGCCCTACAGCGGTTAGGTGCCTTGTGTGCTCAAGAAACACCTAGGAAGCCACTGTGGCTGCAGACGAGGGACGATGTGAAAGACAAGCTCATGGAGTAATGGGGAGCCAGATCGTGCACACAGTAGGTCACTACTGAGACTTAAGAGCAATGGGAGCTACTGGAGTACCTGAGGAGCATCACCAGCTAAAGTGTTTAGAAGCTCAGAGTGCTGTTGGGTTGAAACCAGTCTCCTGAGAGGCTACTTTACCTACTAACTTTTGCCCTGTACACGTTACAACCTTCAGTTTACTGGTCTGGCTCCTCCTTTAGACTGTGAACTCCTGGAGGTGTGGCTGTGTCTTATTTTCTCCGTGGCTCTCGAGCACCAAGCAGATCAGGAAAAATGATTCATCAAACTCCTCAGGTGTTGCATGCTCAGTTGGAGTTCCAGGACTGTACTGGACACTGTACGGTCTGAATTAGTCTTTGAGCTTAGGCCTGGAGCCCAAAATTCAGCCATAGCGAAGGCCTGATCTCAATGATTGGGCAGAAAGGGCAACCGAGTGAGAGGACACCAGAAAGAAGTAGAGGAAGTGGGACAAGGGCACTGGAAGAGATGCCTCCAGGACACGAAGCTGCAAAGACAGGAGCCCCATTCTCCGCAGCCTGACTCAAAGTGGGGAGAGTTCTCAGCGCTCATCTCTGGGTCTGGAGTTCTAATTGGCAAGGACCAACACCAACTGCAGCATTTGTTCACAGCTCTCCCCCACCTCATAATGATGCTAATAAAAAATTAACAGTGAGTCTAAAGTCGAGTTTGAGGTGGGCCAGACTAAGATGGGCCTAGTTTCCTCTTCAGAGGGCCATGCTGGCAGTGTTTCCATTGACTAGTGGAAATCAATCCCCTGAAGGTGCCCCCCATTCTTCTCCTTGGCCACGACTTCATTCTACCATGTGCTTTTCGCCCACATCTTCTTTTCCACCTTGAAGAGGGAAGGTAACGTGCACAGGTGAAGGGAGATGTATCTGAGGCCAAGAGATCAATCTCCACTTCCCACTGTGTTAACCTTTGTCAGACTTTACTTGAAAAACAGTGAGACAATCACCACCTGTCCTAACTACCTATCCCCTAAAATAACAGGAGGAATTGAAAAAGACAATACACGTTATCAAGGCCAAATAAACATAGGAGCTTATCATCCCCCACACCTCAGCACTAGAAAATACACATAATGTAGGAAATAGACTGTGCTATGATATAATTTCATCTAAATTTTAAAAAATAATTAATACCGGAAGTTGGAGGTTAGAAATGGATACAAGATATAATCTTCTATGTGGTGAGAAGTCAGACTAAAGGGCCAGATACAGCTGGATTTGCACCCTATTTGATGAGCTACCCACTGTTTTATCACTAAGAATCACATACTACCTTGATCTTCAATTTTCTCATCTGTAAAATGGAAATAAGAACACTTGACTAGTTTCTGTGAGAACTGAAGATACTGATGATAGTCAACACATGTCTACATGTGTGTTATCAACCTGTGTATCTACGTGTGTATGTGCATATACAAAATACCAGCACAGTAGTATCAAGACGGGAGTCAATGGAAGCATCTCATAGTAAGTTGACAGCACATATGTGCATGCCTCTACCCTCCTAATTATTTGAAAGGGGACTTTGAGACGTGTGAGTAAGATGGGCTCTTGATATGTGCTGGGTGTTAAAATACATTTGAAAAACAGAAGGTGGATTTGGTAACAAACGCCTGCCCTCATTCCATCCCCACACACTGTCCCAGGCATCCAGGCCTCCTACGAGGGGCCGAGAATGCAGGAGGAGCAGCAGTGAAGCTGTACTTGGCCTTTTCCTAGTTTCTCAAGTCCATTCTTCTTGCTTGTGCAGACGACGACTCCTGATGCCATAAAATCTCTGTCTTACCCTTCTCTTCCCTTCTAGAAAGGAGAGCAGGGCCAGGAAGTCAGACAGCTCCTTAGGGAAGATGGTGGTGGTTCATCTTGTGAGCCCTCGTTAATGGAAAGAGTCACAAGACACAGTAATAGAGGCTCACAGGGTTGACCCGCGCAACACTGGTGTGACTGGGTGACCTACTTCATCTCTCATAGCCTCAGCTTCCTCTTTTGCAACATGAAACAGTAATAAGTTCTTCACCTGTTTGTTATGAAAACTAAGGAAGATAACGCCTGCGAAAGTACTTTGCAAAATATAAATTGACCTACAAATGTTATAATTCAGATCATCATCATCAGCAATCCACATGTGCCCTGAACTGGTGTCCCAGAGACAACACTTACTGATAATTTTCTTTTAGAAGTTGTAGTTAGGGAAGTAGAAAAAGCAACTTTAATTTAGATGTTGAAAAAATCTCCCAAAGAGTAGTTAAAATATTAATCACAGTACAAGTTTTCTGATGTTAAATTAACAAAAGAAATTTAAGCCAGCCAAGCCCAGGTGATGACTGCAATAAAACGGAATTACCAAGACAGCATTCTTGCACACAGCATCATAAAACACAAAGGAAAGAATAAACAGAAAACATACAAATATTTAAGGATTTTGTTTCTTTTTGAAAACTGTACTTGAAAAACAGAAGTCACTAAGGTTAAAAGAGAAGGAAAAATTATACTAACAACAAAAATTATAAAAAGTAAAACCTAATTGTTGATCAGTGATACCTAAAAAAAGGGGCAAAATTTGGCTCATGACAGATTACTATTTTCAAAATTATTATAAAATTCTACACAGTGGACAACACTAACTTTAAAAATGTGAGAAGAGTTGCTATTTACTGAATTTTAATGTGTCCCCTAGACAGCATATTTGGGTATGAGGTAGGTGTCGTCACCTGTGGATCACATGACCAACCACAAGAACATTCAAACTTACTGTACTTCGGCCTCATATTCACAAAGCTGCTGCAGACATGTGCCCATGCATCCATTTAACCATTGCCAATGTTACAGACTAGAGTATTAGTGACCTCACATCCACATCTGGTGCCTTACCCGACCGATAGCGCTCATCTCGTGACCCTGAGGACCTTCGGCGGTGATAGCGAGAGGAAGAGGAAGGAGTAACCGGAGCCCGGCGCTCTGGAGGCAAAGCTTGATCCACCCCTGGGTTAAGGGAAAGAGCAAAGTAAGGTGAGGCTTTACTTGGCAGCTGGAGTTAATTTACTTTGTGGAGCAAATCATGCAGTAGAATAAAGCCCTGACTCACTGCATTCCCACAGCCAAGCAGAGCACACCCGGAGTGGGCATGGGGGGCCGGGGACGTCACAGCTGATGAACAGGAAAGGGAGACGCATCCTGGGCAGTGAAGACTCAAGCCCTGACACTACAGCCCTTAGAAACACCAGCACAGCCTCTTTCACATCACAAACATCTATTACGTCACGTGAAGAGACACAAATCACGCCACGAGCAACAACTGAAATCTTTAGAGTTTGGATAATAAAAATGGAGCCCAAAGCACAGAATCAAGTTATGGTCTTCTTTATATAATAAACATATAGAAAGAGTTATATAAGTTTTTGAGAAAATTTAAAATTACATTTATCATTAAAGTTAACTTTAAAATAAATCTTATAGGCTATTTTAACAATATAATTCAAGCAACCAAGAATGAGCATAAACTTCTATCTTTATTCATTCAAAATTTCTAACTCTTGGGGCTGGCTGGGTGGCATAGTGGTTAAGTTTGCACACTCTGCTTCGGTGGCCCAGGGTTTACAGGTTCGGATCCTGGGCATGGACTGATGTACCACTTGTCAAGCCATGCTGTGGTGGTGTCCCATATGAAGTAGAGGAAGATGGGCAAGGCTGTTAGCCCAGGGCCAGTCTTCCTCAACAAAAAGAGGCGAGTTGGCAACACATGTTAGCTCAGGGGTAATCTTCCTCACACACACACACAAAAATTTCTAACTCCCTGGAATCTTACTCCATTTGATACTAAATAATTAAATTGTATTTCAATATCGCTTTGATGAATTACCAAAAAATGTTAACATGGTCAGATAAAAATTATTCAGTGGGTACTGGTCAAGAGCTGACCTAAATCTGGCCATCATGATACCTGTTACACTTTAGACTTGAGCGGCAAGAAGCACAGTCTAGATACAACTAAGTACTAAGGGACAGATTTAATCATCACAGTTCAGAAATAAAGAAATTCTGAGCACTGAGCATTGAACATTCATTGTTGCTTTTTCAGAAAAGGACCAGTAATACCTTATAGAAAGTAAACCAGTGTCAACAAAAAACTGTTTAGTCCGTGGTTTCCCGTGACGGCTCAGTGAGAGTTATTTATCTATCCCTGGGATTCAATCTTCTTCTTATGCTGGTGAATTCTGCACCTGTTTTGGATGGCATGTTTGTGGGTCCCATGTACTAAGTTAACTATATTAGAATTGTGAGGGCCGGCCCTGTGGCTTGGTGGTTAAGTGCGCGCGCTGCAATGCTGGTGGCCCGGGTTCGGATCCCGGGTGCGCATCGAGGCACCACTTCTCCGTCCATCCTGAGGCCGAGTCCCACATACAGCAACTAGAAGGATGTGCAGCTATGACATACAACTATCTACTGGGGCTTTGGGGGGAAAAAATTAAATAAATAAAATCTTTAAAAAAAAAAAAAAAAAAAAAAAGAATTGTGAAAAACATAGCTACACTGTAAGCCATTTTGTCAGGTTCTGCAAGCTCTTCGTCCAGCAAGCATATTAACATCACTCATTAACAGTTCCTGATGACGGAGCAGTTCACAGTTACCAAACCTCTTCCAGCTATGGTCTACAAATGAGCTTTTAAAAATATTCTCTTAAAAAATTATTTCGTATTGTTATCAAAAGATGCACAGAATTTATGAAATCAGAGTACTATTCTTATAACAAAAAATAGTAGTTACATGGTATATAAATTCATATTCATAAATATGGGCTTATAATCCTACTTCTTAATTGCCCATTTTAGACAATATATGGACTTCTCCCTGTAGCCATCACTACACCATTATTAGGATTATGAGTCAGTAGTAGGCTATGAATACCTTTCTATCCTACACTTTTTTATTATCCTGGAGTTAATATTTGTATCTTTTTGTTCTATTATCTTGGTTTTCAATGTACCTATTGCTAATCCTTTCAAAATACTCCAACAGAACTGAAAAACTCTTCCCAACTTTTCTCCTCCATGGTCAAACACTGACAACCTGGTGACAGTTTTTTTAGTTCAACTGTCTTTTCCCTTGAGGACCTCCCTCTTGCAGCCCCTCCTGCTCCAATCGTGCTTGTTGGTCCAGACCTGCTGCATAACTGCCGTGGAGGATCCCTTCATCCCAGACTTGCTTTCACTCAAGAATTCTAAGCAAAATTATTTGTAAATTTGAAAATTTATTTGTATAAATATATTTATTTGAAAATTATTTGTATTCATTGCCTTTCATGCCAATTATTATTGTTGAGAAGTTAAATGTCATTCTGATGTTTTATCCTTAGGTAAAATCTGTTTATTTTTTCATTTTCTCCTCTGTCAACTTTCCCATCAAAGGAGCTGCAAGCAGAGTTTCTTCCTATGGCGGGGGCATCACCGATCTGTTTCCAGGGGTCTTTTATCTGGTTGTTCCATTTGCCCAAAAGAGAGACCGCTGGTCTCCTGTCTTGCGACTAAACGCAGGCGTGTTGGTCATTCAGGGCTGGAGCTGTTCTCCGTCTCCAGTGCGCAGGCTCTGGTTCAGTGTCTGTGGGTTCAGCACTGCCTGGCAGCCCAAATCTAGAGGCTCTCAGCTCCATTCTCCCAAGAACTAACATCTCCAGGGGAGTGGGGAAGATGAGGATCACGGGTCTCCCTGACGCCCCGCCTCCCCCTCCCCCAGGGTGCCCACGGTTTCATTAGCACCTTCTCTGCTGCCTTCCTCCCTTGACTAAACGAGGCACCACTAATCATCTGCCTCACGTACTGTAGCAACCAGTCACTGTTTCTCCCATCCCCCTGTCCTGTGGGTTTATACTTTATCTGTTCACTGACATCTTAGTGCAGCTCTGGGAAGAAGCAGAGCTAACGTACACTTCAGAGCTGCCAAGGTTAAACAGTGCCTAATTTATACGAACACCTAATGTTTAGCTTTCACTCTCTGTACTGTTACCTATCCAGTTCATCCAGAGATGCTTCCTGGAACGACTTTCAACCTCAACCCCTCTGGGTCCCTGGGTGGCTGTATACTTCCTCTGGGAAGTGCACAATCATCACACTTACACACACAGACCAGCTCTACAGAGCTGCAGGTTAGTGCTCACCTGTTCACAGGCCCTGAACGCCTGTCCTCAGAAAACTAATTTTGCATACAAACATTGTGAACATTTATTCTCACAGACTGAAATATAGAGTTTATAACACAAATTTTAAAAGGAAATGAATAAATTCAATGAAAGGAGAATAGCTTCAACAGGTCACTAATAACAGGACATCAAAAGAAACTAAAATATTAGTGTGCATATTTCAATCATTAATTTTTATCTGACCTCATTGTGAATGAAATTTGAGGAGCTTAAAGGCATGTTCTGACAGGAAAAATCCGTCAGTCAAATATGCAACTCTCCAAATTAGAATTCAACCTGCCACCACAGGAGGACCCAGGGGTCACAACTGACAGGTCCTTCTCATTATCAACTGTAAGAGGATTTGACCAAATGCTGCTGGTGGAATAGGTGCCTTCTTGGTAACACTAATACGTGAATAATTAGTAAAACACACAATTACAGCTCAGTGGTCAGCCTTGCTGAGGTCGCACATTCTTACCATAATGGAGAGCTAGCTCTCAGGAAAGCTACAGGACGACCAGAGGGTCTACAACAGAATGTGGGGTCAGTTGAGGAGAGGGCACTAGGAAGGTGAAGTAACTCAAAAATGTGCAAAACCAGGGTGACAAAAACTAGTTCTCCTCAACAAAAACAGGAAGAAGATCACGACTGGATACCTTCTCCCACAGACATTTATTAAGCACCATGTGCTAGGCACTGGCTCAGCTTCAGATCCCATGTGAACTGAGGGACATCGCCGTGCTCCGGAGTCAGAGACAGGCGTCCCACCTGGCTGCCGTCACCATCTGTGACCCTGGGCCCGGTTTCCCACCTTTACACAGAACTGATAAGAAGAGCTAACACTTTATAGAACTGGTCTAAGCATTTTATTAACTCATTTAATTAACATAATCATATGAGATGCTGTTTCTGCCATTTTATTGATGAGAAAATGCTGGCCCACAACTGGGGTTTGAACTCAAGCGTCTGCCACTCTCAACTAGTATTTAAACATTTGCTCATAACTGCCCTTTTGTTTGAGATGGGCTCCCTCCTGGCACTCGCAGGTACCAGAGGTCACTTAGAGAGCTCTGGTGGCCTCCCTGTCCCGTCCCCAAAGAGGCCTGGTCCTTGAGGCAGAGGCAGCGCGCTGTTCAGTGCTGCATTCCTGGTACAATAACTGCCACTGGACAAAATCGAGCTGGTATCTTGCAGTCAAGAAGTATTTTTGTGATCTCCTCACAAAACTATTTGCTCAACAGCAATCTCCTAAGGAAAGATGGAGCCTGCTACAATTTCAGACTGCTGCCTAGGAATGAGCTCAGAGCAGCGGAAAGCTGTCGAGGTCATATGACACAGAGGTGTGTCCATCAGATCCCTGCATGGAGTCGGCAATAGAAAGTGATGTCTGTTTGTTATCTCCTCCCCTGCCACGCTGCCCTTGGGCCACAGGAGGCCTTAGGAGGTATTTCTGAACCAGAAAGCCTTGTGCAGAGGGCTGCAAACATCAATGTTAATATGACAACATCAGTGACGTTTTGTTTTTCCTCTAGAATTGCAGTGGGACCATAACTAAAACTCCAGAGAGGAGGAAAGAGACCCGAGGTTCTTGAGAGGGAAAAGGAAACAGAGACACAGCCTAGGGAGAGAGTAAAACACACACCCCACCTCTCCACTGAGCTGGCACCTTCCCAGGACTTCCACCCCTCCACATGGCATGCCCCTCCCTCTCCACGCACCCTCCCTCCTCTCTCCACGTTCTCAAACACCTACATCCCCTGTGAGTCCTCTGTTTCCCACCCTACACTTTATCCTCAAGGGGAGAAAA